CTGCTGAAATGCCTATAAATTCAAAGAAAAAAAAAACAACAAAACAAACACACAAGAAAACAACAAATGAATCTGAAGAGTTAAGCATAAACTCTAACAATTGTACCTGCCAAAATATCTTCAGTCACTTTAGGCTATCTAGTCTTAATATCCATCCTATAAAGATCCTTGTACTTCTGCTGAGAGCTACAGCCTTGCCAACCAGTCCTGCACAATTTGCAAAACATCAGCAAACATTTCTTCTGAAAGCTATCTTAAGTATCTTCACAAATTTCTGTCTTGGAAAGAACAGTGAAGTTGTTTTTTCTACCCCATTTCTTTTTTACCTCCCTATTATTATAGAATCACAGAATCCTAGGGCCTGGAAGGATTGTTTGTCTTTAATTAATCTCACACATTTTAATGATTTTTAGGGATTTTGCATGGCAAAAGCATCAACAAAGGCCATTCACTCTAACTCCAGGTAGTGAGCACACATTAAATTTATGAATGGGAAATGGAATACATAATATTCCTCCTTGATAGCATATTAGGGAGTTCTGTTTAAGACTTGTCATAATGATAAAGTATTTTTTATCTCTTGATGCTGCCTAAATGCCATAATGAAGTTTAGGCAGTAATTCTTGGATAACACATGACATTTTTTTTAATAGTGACTAATTCTGTCTTTCCAAATGGCTGGTATCTGTTTAATTTTTTATAAATACTGACTCAGTGGAGTCATATTAAGTTGAGAAGAACACCCTGATACGGGTAATTCACATTCATAGAATCACACACTTGAGTAAGGAAAAGTTTCCCTAAACACACACCGTGACTGATTAAGTTCTTATCTTTTAAATGTTAGCTACTTCCTCCTCGAATTTCACTAGCATTTAGCATGTCTTTAGCTCAGTATGCTCTGATAAGCTCATCCACACATTACATGAACATAATTACAAAAAGAAGAGAAAACATTAAATGATTCTGCTGAACTCTTAATCCTTCTCTGAATGCCATGAACCTTCTCTGTAAACACAGGAATCAGACTCTCATGTCAAAGCATTAGGAGACCCCTTTCATTCAGGTAAATCAGAGAACAATGTTAATGCTCTTTACTACATTACACCAACTGGTAAGTATGGAAGACACTCAGTTAAATTATGTAGAGGATGTTTAAAAGCAAGACTCTGTTTTCCAATATAAATTGATGGAGGAATGAACAAATGGTCCTCTACCGACAGTGGCAGAGCTGCAGAGACGGAGAAAATCTGGATACATGGTGCACAGGTTCACTCTCTGACTTACCACAAACTCCAATGTTAAAGGTACTTGATGTTGACGGTCGAACGGGCAGTCATGACCATAAAGTACACAAATTGTAAATATTATGGGGGAATTGAAGAGCACATTTAAGAAGAAATAAGCTGGTCACAAAATATTTTACCTAAAGAAATTAGACATTCTCCTTTAAAACAATTTTCAGAAATACTTCTTTTAATAATTTCAATTGCAAGATCACCAAAAGCACGGAGTGGTAGAAACACAAACTCATTCTGTATTCCTGAAACTGCTGTGCTGCCTGCATTTATTTCTCATACTTCTTTCTATCTCTACTCCTATTACTTGCTCTTAATCTAACTATTTCTTCTGCTCTTAGTAGAGCAGAATTATCATACTCTCTTGTAAGGGATGAGTGCTCTGGAAGAATGCTACTCTTTTCCTTAATCCACTTAGTTCACAAGAATCATAACATACATAATCACACAAAATACTTCTCAGAAGCAAGAGAAGCAACACAATAGGAAAAAAACATTGCAAATGAAGCAGTGATTTTCTGAAAATTCAGAGGAATATTTAACCTAGAAGTTAGTTTTAGAGACATGTAGCATCAAAATTATTTAAAACTAATTTTTACTTTATTATCAAAGTTCTAATTACTGCAGAAGGATTTCTGTGGGGGCAGGGGAGGGCTTATTTGGGGTTTTTTTTGCTTGTGTAGTAAGAGTTTCAACCACCAGTAGAGGCAAGTCCAGGTATGTTTGTACAGGGTTTCAATGTATGATGCTTAAATAGATGTATTGACCTGTGTTTCTCAGTAGCTATAACTGCACAATGAGGAGGGTGTTAGCCCCTAAAGCCTTAACGTTAAACACCCTGAAGACAACTATCCTTGAAGATGTGCCTATCAGAAATGAGATGTTCTTGAGATTTAAGAGGCTAATACTTCTGAGCTAATATAACAGAAACCTTAAGCCTCAAACAGATGAGCTCCTGTACTTTCATTTGGGCTAATTTGAGACACCAATTCCCTCAGCTGCCTGCTCAGCCCTCCTGCCACAAGAGGTGCACCAACAATTGAACTAGAAGGCTTAAACCTACATTCAGCTTTCAGATTTCTGCTAACCTGTCAGAATATGAACTAGCATATAGTAACTCCTGCAGCCCATTGTGCTACTGCCCCTGCAGCACAAAGTAAAAGGAAAAAGGAAGACAGGGACAATAATGTCTTACACCACATTTTGATTAATTTGTTAAATTCAGTATCCCTAATCCATATGGATAACTGTATCACTAAAATCACTCCTAGAGCGGACATAGCAATTTACTCCAGATAATGGCTTAAGTACAGTGGTAAAGTTGCCTTATTTCTACTACATACCTCAAGATCCCACCCCTGGAAACATTCAAGGTCAGGTTGGACAAGGCTCTCAGCAACCCAATGTAGTTGAAGATGTCCCTGCTCACTGAAAGGGTGTTTGTCTAGATGACCTTTAGAGGTCCCTTCCAACCTAAACTATTCTATGATTCCAGCAAACACAATATATCCAGTTTGGATTTATATATCTGATCTAAACTTGCCTTGAATTCCCCCCAAAATTCTGTCAATACAGATGGTGTCACATCAAAAGAAAAAACTCCAGCGGAACGAACACCCTCAGTTTTTTTTGAAACAAAGGGATAATATGATTCTTAAAAGGACTTGAGTGATAAGGCACTTAATTTCCATCAGACAACACCCTCGAATCTTATGCAGTCCTACACTTAATCTTATCTACTGAATAGCAGGTCTCTTCATCGCAACTTCTGAACTAAGGTATGGATAGGTCAGTGACCTTGTTTACCCTAAAAACTACAGACATGGTCTCCAGGATAATGGTATCCTAACTGTGTTACCTCTTGGACAGATCAGACAGATTTAATATTATAATTACTTCAACATGTTTCCTTAGGATTATTATGAGAATTACTTGAATAATCTGGGACAGTGGAAGCTGCTTTGTAACATATTGAGAATAGAATACACCTACTACTTCAGCTTTTTTTTCACATTGCACTTTCAATGTGCCACTGAACCACATTAAAACAACTCCTCTTGAAAACAGAAGAAATGCCTTTTGATTAATTTTATTGGCACTCATTTCTCCTCCTATAACTGAAGAAAAAAAAAAAATTAAAATGCCAACAGCAACCAGAGAAAACATTTAATTTGAAACCTGTCTCCAAAATTCAGGAGTGTATTTCTATTACAGCATTATTTATCATATTAACTCAGCTTTACAATTTCTCCATTGTACAGAACCAGCTGTCGAGCTTTTATTCCAAACCCAGGAAGTAATTTTAATAATTATTGCAGGTACTACTTTAAGAACAATATTTGCATTTGAAATAATTTGAAAAATAGCTAGAAAATGTATTAAAGACATTAATGACAAGTATCAACTGCATTCAGTAAAATGAGAAATTTCAAAGGAATGTAGAACAACATATTGAGGTACATAAAATACTAAGTTGAGCCATAGTTTAGCACGAGTCACATAAAGCTATAAAAATGCTGTTACAGCAACAGCCCACAGCTAGCAATAAACTGTAATGTCTTCTCTAGGAGAAGATTTCACTTTACTACAAGAAAATCTAGTTTGCCTACACTGACCTTTACATTTATCTGAAGCAATTTTAATGTAGTTCACCAAAGGCTGACCCATTTCCTCTCTAACCCTTGCCAGAACAGACCATAAAAGTACTGTTGCAAGTAACAGTACAACTGCTTTCACCTAATCTGAAACAGTTCACACAGCCTGTGTTCAACATTAATATTTGTACTGAAACTCTGGATGGCAATAATAGTCACTTGGTTTTCCAGTGAAAATCACACATTTTTGTTCAAATCCCACCTAAAGCATGCAGGAATGTAGAACTCTTACTGCTCATAAAATATTTAACAAAAACACACGGAAAGGAAAGCTCATGTAGTTGCACAACTCATAAGGAGAGGCAGTATCTTTTACTAAACTGACAGATTCATTTACATTTACCTTCAAGTTCTGTACCCGCTCCTGTTAAATAGATACGGGGTTTCTTGCAGCTAAAGTAATGTTGCATCAGTCTCAGCAATTCTGAAAAGAACCATGATTTTTGTTGCCTTCACAACCCACTATGATCACAAGCTAAAAGCACAATAGTTCTTTGAACATCAGGATTATAAGGTCTGACTTGCCACAATATTTTCCCATTCAGATTCTCCAATGTCTCGTAACATGGCTGTACTCAGTGTACCTTTATCTTCAGTGAGGTCACAAAATCATAGAACGTATGGGGTTGGAATAGAATTTTAAAGGTCATCTAGTCCAGCATCCCCTGCAGTGCACAGGGACTTTTTTAACTAGATCAGGTTGCTCAGTCTCATCGAGCCTGATATTGAATGCTTCCAGGGATGGGGCCTCCACTGCATCTCTGGGAAATGTATTCCAGTGCTTCGCTACCCTCATTGTAAAGAACTTCCTAATATCTAATCTAAATCTACCCTGCTCTAGTTTAAGACCATTACCC